CCCTGTGTCACCCGCACACCCGGTGACACCCACACGCGTTGGACACCTGCACACACTGTGTCACCCCCACCATATGTCACCCCCAGCTGATGACACCCCCCACCCGGTGACAGCCAGACACCCGCATGACACCCGCACCCTGTGACACCCCCACCCTGTGTCACCCGCACTGTGTGACACCTGCACGTTTGGTGACACCCGAACACTCGGTGACACCCACACCCATGGGACACCTGCAGACCCCATGACACAACCATCCACATGACACCTGTACCTGTGACAGCCCCACCGTGTGTCACCCCCACCCTCTGTCACCCACAAACCCAGTGACACCCAAACACTCTATGTCACCTGCACGCCCGGTGACAACTACACACCCGTGGGACACCCAGTGTGACACCCCCACTGTGTGACACCCCCATCCTCTGTCACCCGCACACCCTGTGACACCCAAACATGCCACGTCACCCGCACACCTGGTGACACCCCCACCCTTGGGTCACCTGCAGAGGCTGTGTCACCCCCACGCGTGACACCCGCACAACGTGACATCCGCATGCTCTGTGACACCCGCACCCTGTGTCACCCGCACACCCTATGACACCCCCACAGCCGTGTGACACCTGCACACCTGGTGACACCCACACCCGTGTGACACCCACACCCTCTGTCACCCGCACACCTGGTGACACCCCACACACCCGTGGGACACCCCCATCCATCTACACCCCTGTGACACCCTCACCCGGTGTCACCCACACCACGTGACACCCCCACACCTGTGCGACGCACAGTGTGACACCCGCACACCGTGACACCCCCACCCTCTGTCACCCGCACCCCCTGTGTCACCTGTACCCCGTGACACCCCCACCCTGTGACACCCGCACCCAGTGTCACCCCAGCCCGGTGTCACCCGCATACCGTGTGACGCACCTACACCTGGTGCGACGCGCAGAGTGACACCCGCACCCCGTGACACCCCCACGCTCTGTCACCCGCACCCCCGTGTCACCTGTACCCCATGACACCTCCACCTGGTG